TATTATTTGTTGAAACTGTACTTTCGATTTGATTTGAAACTGTCTCATTGCTATAGGTTTATCAATAAAACTTTGAAAAGAAAAAAAAATAAAAAAATAAATAAAAGTCTGCTTGACTTCAGGGTGTTAGAAGATAGGCCCACTACCACATGAGGTGTGTATCTCTGTCACGTAAAGAGAGGATCCAGTGCTGAAGGTGTAGCTCAGCAGTAGAGAGCATGTACGCCTACCATGCATAAGGCCCTGGATTTGGTCCCAGCACCCACCCCTCCATCAGCATGTAGGCTGAGACAGGTCAGGATGTATTGTAACCTTTAATTTAGAAAGTTGTATTTTATATCTAGACCTAATTTTGCTCATTTTATTATCCTTTCTTTGTCTTACCACCATTTGAATTTTATGAAACTAAGTCTCTTTTTGCTATCAGTAGTATCTCATTCCCCACTGCTTTTTCTGCTCAGTCTATATCATTCCCTTCTCTCTGACTCCTTTCCTATTTTTAGTCTGCCTTCTCACACTTTCCCCTCCCTATTTCTATTTCCCTCATGACTCCATTTTGTTTCCAAAAGGATATGAAGTATATTACTAAGATTAAAAAAAGAGAGAGGGCTATTATAAAGGGAAAACCAGGAGAGAAGCTGGTATAGTGCTGCTATGAAGGATTATGTACTTTCTAGAAGCGAGTTATCCAGGGAGCTTACGTCTTGGCTAATATCTTGATCTGTACATTTTTTACTTATCAAATTGGCAGTTACAATGTGGTTCTAGTTTATATATTTCTTGTTAGAGAGATAGAACATCCTTTCAGATGTTTAAGAACCACTAATGTTTTCTTTATTCCTTCACATAAATTTTTTATTTTATGGAAAAAATAACAAAATAATTGGAGAATAACAATAGTTAATACATTGCATATTGTTATCTTCAAAGTAGTTAGAGTATAAGATATAAGCATAAAAAAGTTCTCCAAACAGTATTGGCACAAATCTTTCTTTTCACTGAACTAAGAGGAACTAGTAGTACAAATACCTTGTATTTTTTTCCTTTCTTCTTGTTTTCTTCCCCCTTTCCCCTGACCTAGTTCCTTTTTCCTTTTGAACAATTTCTTCCAATTTCACAATATCTGTTGTACATTTTGGTCTTTACTTACTCTCTCTTTTTTTTTTTTTTTTTTTTACTGGAGATTGAACTCAGAACTTTGTGTTTGCCAGGAGGGCATTTATGCCAATGAGCTGTATCCCTGGCCTTACTGACTCTCTGTATCTCACACCAGGGAGATGATATAATGTTTACACATGTGAAGAAATTTATTTCATTTATGAGTATGGTCTCAAGTTTATCTTTCATTATGACTGAGTAGTACTTAATAGTATAAAAAGACCACTTTTTAAAAAATTCATTCCTCAGATAGCATTTGTGTTGTTTCCAGAATTTAGCTATTACAAAGTGTGCTGCTATAAACAGGGGCATTTTTAATTCTTCTAGGAAAATACTCAGAAGGGGAATTGATGGGTCAAATGAGACCTATAGTCCTAATTTTTTGAGGAATGTCCACACTGATTTCCACAGGAGTTGCAGTATTTGTACAGGGTCTCACTATGCAGCTCAGACTAGTAGTGATCCTTTTGTTTTCAGCCTCCTCAGCACTGGGATTACAGGCATGCACCACCATCCCTGGTCTTGGCTACCTCAGCGCACCCGGGGGTGGGCTGGCATGGCATATGGTGCAGGGAATTGAGCCCTGGTCCTGTGTTTGCCTAAGCAGGCACTTAGTCCGCTGAGCTATCTTGCCAGCCCAAGATTCAGTGAACAGTTGGTTCTTTGAATATTAAATAAAATTGATAAACCCCTAGCCAACCTCATTAAAAAGAAGAAAGACTTAGATTCAAGCAATTGAGAATGAAAAGGAAGAAATCATAATGGTTCCTGAGAAATCCAGAAGATCATCAATACCTATTTCAAGAACCTGAACGCTCATAAGATGGGAAATACAGAATGTACAGATTCCTGTTGACATATGAATTTCCAAAACTGAATGAAGATAGAAATTCTAAATAATCTGATAGCAGTCAATGATATTGAAAATGTAATTAAAAGCTAATCAATAAAAGCCCAGATCCTGGTGGATTTATTTACTGCTGAATTTACAAGAAATTTATGCCACTAATGCTAAAACTCTTTAATGAAGCAGTACTTCTAAAGTCATTCCTAGAAGCAAGTGTTACCCTGATACCAAAATGAGAAAAGGGCTCAGCTAAGAAAGAATTACAGAACAATCTCCCTAATGAACAAAAATGCAAAACTTCTCAATAAGATACTGGCAAACAGAATGTAGCAAATCTGTAAGATGATTATACATTGTGACCAAGTAAGATTCATCCCAGGAATGGTTTAACATTTGCAAATCAATCACACCATATTAACAGAACTAGGGACAGAATTGCATGATGATATCCATAGATGCAGAAACAAATTGACAAAATCCAACACATTCAGGATACAAACCCTACAGAAAATTGGAATAGATGGTTTTTACCAGACTGAGATAAATACCATCTAAGACAAACCAATAGCTAACATCATACTGAATGGTAAAAAAAATGAAAGCTTTCACTCTAAAATCAGGAACAAGACAAGGATGTTCATATCACTACTACTTAATATAGTTCTGGAAACATTAGCTAGAGAAATTAGGCAAGAGAAAGAAATGACTATTGATAAGAAGAAGTTCAATTTTTATTTGTGGATGACATGGGGTCTACATAAGACTCCAAAAACTGCAACAAAAGACTTACAGATTCAATAACCAAATTCAGTAGTGTAGCTGGTCAACATTCAAAAATCAAGATAGCATTAATGAATATGATAAACTCACAGAAATTAGGGAAATCACATCCTTCACAATTGCATTTAAAAAATCTTTATGAATCTACAAAAGTAAAAGATCTATATATTGAAAATTACAGTACTCTGAAAAAGATCAAAGAGTGTATCAGAAAAGAAAGATATACCTTACTTCTGGATAGGAAGAACCCACATAGTGAAAATGGACATTCTCCCAAAATTGTTAAACAGATTAATGCAATCCCAATCAAAATACCAATAGCATACTTCACAGAACTAGAGAAAGCATTCTTAAAATTCATTTGGATCCAGAAGAGACCTAGAAAATAAAACTAATTCTTGGCCACAAAGGCAAGACCATAGGTATCATAATCCTTGACTTCAAATTACTCTACAAAGCTATTATGATAAAATCAGCATGGTACTGTAAAAAAACAGACCTGAGGATGAATAGAACAGATTAGAAGGCACAGAAACAACTCCACACACACTCAGCCACCTTTTCTTTGACAAAAGGGCCAAACATATTAATTGGAAGAAAGATAGCCTCTTCAATAAATGGTACTGGAAAAATTGAGTTTCTACATGCCAAACACTAAAAGTAGATCCATGTCTGTCACCACACACTAAATGAAAATCAAAATGGATGAAAGATCTAAACATGAAAACAGAAACACTAAATCTAGAAGAGAGTAAGTAGAAATCTTGGAAGATAATAGGTATAGGCAGAGATTTCATAAAACCCACATTGCATAGGAAATACTGCAAAGAATCAAAAACTGGGATCTCATCTTATTAAAAAGCTTTTGCACAACAAAAGAAATCAACAGAGTGAAAAGACGGGCTGGGAGATAGATAAGCAGTCTAAGTGCCTGTCTGGCAAGCACAAAGACCCAGGTTTGATTCCTGGGACTGCATGCCATGCCATGCCAGCCCCAGTAGCAGGTGTGGTGGTACATGCCTGTAATCCCAGCACTGGGGAGGCTGAGACAGGAGGATCACTAGAAGTCTGAGCTATGTAGCAAGACCCTGTACCAAATAATTTTGAAAAAAGAAAAAGACAACCCACAGAGTGTGAAAAAATTTTAGCCAATTGTCCCTCAAAGGACTTATGTGTAGAATATACAAATAGTTGAAAAAAATCAGACCCCTCAAACTTGAGACCAAGTCCAAACCTTGAGATGAATATACACTTCTCAGATGAAGAAATACAAAGGGCAAATACATGAAAAAATATTTCTTCATATATTACTTTGCTTTATGAATAACAGTGTTATATTATTTGGTCTACCAGCCATATATTAATTAATTTCCTCTAAATGTACATGCCTTCTTTTCTTTTCTTTTTTTTTTTTTTTTTTGTATTTTAGGGCAGGGTCTATAGGGTGTTCAAGGTTTCACTACTAGATCCAACTCATAGTGATCCACCTGTTTACAGCCTCCCAAAGCTAGGATTACAGGTGCATACCACCACGCCCAGTCTCAATTGCCATCTCAGCATGCCCTGGGAGTGGGGCTGGCACAGCAGACCTGGGGATCAAACCCCCAGCCCCTGTGCCTGCTTGCAGACTCTTTAATCCACTGAGCTATTTGACCAGCCCCATAGCATTTTAATTAGTTTGGTATTTTTATTTATACTATTCTCTTGTGGGTTGTATACTTTTTATAACTTTTAAGTCTTCTCAAGGTTTTCTTATTAAGAATTGTTAGTTACTCAGTATATTTTTATTACTGTAAATTATCCTTCACCTAATACTTTTTACCTTGATTTACATTGTATTTGATGTGAAGGTGTTACTTTGTGTTTTGTATGATAGCATTTTCCTCACAGATCCTATCTCTTCAGTCTTTTAAGTCACCTGTGTCTGAGTGTATTCTATGTGTGGCTTTTAAGGCATTGTCACCATCTGCTTCCTTTGTCTTATTTTGGTGAATGTGTACTTTCAGTTGGCTTAGAGGATTTGTGTTTTTATTCTAAGTTACCTTTGACTAGTTAATTTTAGTTCAATTTTCTAATTTTAATGAGTTGATTCTTTTTTTTTTTTTTTTTTTTGAAAAGTTAAAAATTCCTTAATTTTTT